CACTGTATTTAATTTGCATATTAAAGTGCTGTTGGGACAGCATGTTGAAAAAAGAAGTGTAATAATGGGAGTAGTAATTGGCCAGATTTTCATAATAATATCTAATATTTCATAAGAATATTGATATATAATTTGTTTTCCTATTCAATTCTTTTGTCTCCCAAAATGTATAATAAACATGCTTTTAGTCCTGGTGTCCTCTACAGTGGACATGTATGAAATGATGTCCTGTTTCGTAACAGAAGGTCATATTTTGATTTGAAACCCCATAACATTTTCCTGAGATGTTGATTTATGACAAACAATTTGAAAATTAATCAGATTTAAATTATAATTACAAAATATTATCATCTTTCCATAAGGATGTACAATTTTATCAGTAAATGAATGTCAGCCATTTTTAAAAACCAAGGAGAGGGAGTGGTCATGGTGAAACATCCAATCATTTGGTATCGCTGGAAAGCCCTGAATGTGCTCTGTACAGGACTTCCAGACTAAAACTGTGACATGTGAGGAATCAGAGAAATTCACTAAAATATAATGTCCACTACAGAGGCAAAAACTCCATAGCTGGGTCTTTTAGAAACCTGTTAAACAAAAAAAGTTGTAAGGCGGGACACTGGGACTTGATTTTATCCATCGGGAATTGATTGGATTGTTTGATTGTTGTCGTTTACTATTGGTGTGATCTGATATGAGTGACAGGTTACTGGAGCGGAGAGGTTATTGTCCTGCCCTTGTGCCAGTGAACACGTCATCAGAGAAGAGATAGCTGCAAGGGGGCAGGGTAGTTATTATGATTAAAGATTACGAGGGCACATGAATTAAAATGAAATACAATAATGATGTGAACAGATAAATAATTCATAATAAACACTGCAATATTCTATAAAAAATAAGAATAGTTGAATTTTGATTTTATGATGACTTCAGCAAAAGGCAGCTTATTTTATTGTTGTTTTATAGCTAGTTGTTGAATATAATCAAGTCTGTGACAAATTGTACACACTCTATATAGGCCTACAGTATGTTAAATTAAAAATATCCTGTTGTGATGAGCAAAGACATGTCTTTTCACAAAGAAGTACCATAGCTGACCAGATACATTACATATTACAAGAATATTGCCTGTTTAAACATAAATATACATATTTCTGCATGAAAATCTCAAATTGTCTTTTTATGGTTCAGCTGTGATATAAAGGTTTTCCCATTCTGCAAACAAAACATCCTGATCCATTATGGCATTACAATAAAGAGTCATTTCCCATGCACGTGTTTCTGTGTGTCCATGAACAGCAAACAAAAATGAATTTATAAGACTACTAGCACTGTCAGAGGTTTAGCTACACATATCTTTCATCTGCAATGATGAGGTCTGAGCTGAAGAGGGCAGTACATGCCTAACTATTCACACACAGCAAAAGGAGGAACATCCTCACTGGCCTGTAGAGCAAGTGTGATTGTAACACACTTCAATAACAAATAATACTGAAGGCATATAAAGGTTCTCAAAAATACCGTTTCAAAAAGTACCCTATAGGCTGCCAATACATATGGTACAGTGATAGTCTCAACAAGGCAGGCCTACATGGCACATCTACGACACATGTCCAGAAAGATAAATGTAAGAACGTGTTCGAGTTGTGTTAGTGAATTGATCCTACTGTATTTTGGTTGGGAAAAGTCTTTACCTGCAGTAGAAAATCGTCTTTCACCAGCTTCTCGTGGAGGTGTTGAGCTTAATAAAGTCCTTCTTCATCACTGACGAGAATAAAATGTATTTATACACGTTTGTTTCAACTGATTGCAAGTAAAAAATAACCATTTCATCCAGTGCTAATTTTTTTTTAGTTCTAAACTGTCGCACAGCAGTTTTGTTTTACCATTTAAAAAAAAAACGGCCAAACGTTTAAGCACGTGCCCCAATTAAGCGATTCACTCGCGAATCGGGCATCACTAGATCTTAACAGTTAACGCAAAATACGGGACGAAGTGATGAAATATGTTGTGAAATATTGTGAAATTGTTCTGTGCTCTGTGATCTTGATCGTCAGAAAAGGATTTATCGTTAAAACTGTATTGGAGAAGGAGCCAAATTTGACAAGGGTGTGTGAGTCATGCCAGAATCACTGGAGTCAAATCGATGCTTCTCCGAGAGATGGCGCCCTTGACCGTCGCATAAGTATTTGGCGATTGGTTAACATTGGCTGCATCCGAAAACTTAGGCAGCTGACTTGCTGCATCGCTGCCGTATGAGGCAATGACTTTGCAGGCAGCGTTTTTGCACGAAGGCACCTCATGAAACTGATTTCGGACAGGCTTCTGAGGCAGCGTAATGGTTTAATGATCTACAACAAAATAGAACAAGTTTTTGTGATAACTAAGCGAATATTTAATTACTATAATACTGATTTATCGCTAGAAATAACATAAAAAGTGCAAAAAGTTAGTCAGAAATATACATTTACACACAAACTGACCACCAAACGCAACTTTCAGACGCCATCTTTATTTTTTAGCTCAACTATCACGGAATGGAACGCACAGGATTGTGGGATATCAAAGGCAGCGAAGGATACATC